GAGACTTGATGTAGGCGGCCACCGCTCGTGGATCAGCCACAATTGTTGATTACCATACCTGTTTGCAGCGATCAATTACCGGTAGCCGGATGGCCAGCGTTACTGGAGACTCGATCAATTAGCCGGATGGCCAGCGTTACTGGAGACTTGCGTGACTGCAAGGGGGGCGACAACGTGCCTCTCAGTCCGAGCACCGCTAGGAGAAGGTATCCATCTGGTCAGTCAAAGGACACTGGCTCCACAAGTGGAGGACAAGTCTTCAAAACTTGGTCTTGTCACCTCGATTGAGCGAGTGAACAGTGTAGTACACATGTAAAGTCATCGTGAAGGTGAACGTGCTTACGGGCATAGGTCTCTGTAGAATGCATTGGAACGGAAAGGTAGGCATGAATCTTATCAAGCGGAGCCGCTCGCAACACACACGCATCTCTGAGACGATCTCGCTATCTCCTCGGATACACTGATCTGGGCAGCCCAGACGAGAAGAAACTTTCAAAACTTTTAAAAAAGTTTGCGGAGATTTTGACCAGGTTTTCGTAGATGAGCTAGTGTGTCCATGAAACCAGCTGGCAGCCACGAAAGATGACAGTTGAAGGAGTCTCCTTTGAAGGAGATGGTAAAAGCTCCAGAATTGCCTCCTACTTGGAGGTATGTGAGCCCGCTTTCTCTGCAGAAGCACCGAGTATCTTTCGCGCTGGCTGTCTATAGTCAAAGGTGTTTTTTTGCCGACAAAAGGTGGTATGATTCGCTGCACCCATGGATCGCGTTTGCAGTGTTCCGTATCCTCAGTGGGTGGACCCGTCAGCATGAGCTGCTGAGAATTGGCTTGTACTTCTGGCTGTTTCTTAGGTCACTGTTTTATATTCTTTCATGTGGAGAGCTTGGCGAAGGAGGATCACAGTCCTTCCACGTGTCGCTGTGCCGATCATCACACAGTCGCACCAGCCGCCTTCACGAAAACCGCGACGCAGCGAGATGGAGCTCGTGTACTTGATGAGCAAAGCTGCCCGGATCGGTTTTCACCCGCTGGCGCTTAGGAGAAGTCGAAGACGGAAAAACACCATGCTATTTCGTTGTCAGCAACGAACAAACGCTGACACAAGCGCACTGTGTGCTGCGCACAGGAAGCTGTAACAACAGGAAAGCATTCCTGCCACGACACGACACCTTGACTCGGCTCGACGACGTGCAACACCTGTTGATGCATGTACAAAAACGTATTCGTCGACAGGAGCTTAGCAAGATGTGAAAAGCTCAATATTTAATAAATATACATATGAAAAGGGTATACACACGCAACGTAAATCTAAGGACCCATTTTCGATATCTAGCACACACAGCGTAAAGGTAAAGATTTAACTTAGAATATTCACTGTCACTGCTTAATGCAACCCACATGCCCACTTTACATTTTTTGATTTCGTATTCGGGATGTTGTTGAAGTTGAGCAGAATGATGATCATTGCTACATGAATACTTCAGAAAATATCACAATTACCGTGCACATTTCGCTGCCAAAACATTTCTATTATACATACGCTTCGTATCGTAGTAGCAGCTCATGCTGACGAGTCCATCCACAGAGGATACGGAACACTGCAAACGCGATCCATGGGTGCAGCGAATCATACCACCTGGATATCATGTAAGCTCAGCCGTAGAAGTGAATGTCCGCTGCCAAGCATCGAGTTCAGCCCCTCCACACACGCCACCGACAACTTGAATGGACAGACTTGGATAAGTCTATCCATTCAAGTTGTGTAAGATCAGCGCTTTTGTCGGCAAAAAAAAAACACCTTTGACTATAGACAGCCAGCGCGAAAGATACTCGGTGCTTCTGCAGAGAAAGCGGGCTCACATACCTCCAAGTAGGAGGCAATTCTGGAGCTTTTACCATCTCCTTCAAAGGAGACTCCTTCAACTGTCATCTTTCGTGGCTGCCAGCTGGTTTCATGGACACACTAGCTCATCTACGAAAACCTGGTCAAAATCTCCGCAAACTTTTTTAAAAGTTTTGAAAGTTTCTTCTCGTCTGGGCTGCCCAGATCAGTGTATCCGAGGAGATAGCGAGATCGTCTCAGAGATGCGTGTGTGTTGCGAGCGGCTCCGCTTGATAAGATTCATGCCTACCTTTCCGTTCCAATGCATTCTACAGAGACCTATGCCCGTAAGCACGTTCACCTTCACGATGACTTTACATGTGTACTACACTGTTCACTCGCTCAATCGAGGTGACAAGACCAAGTTTTGAAGACTTGTCCTCCACTTGTGGAGCCAGTGCCCTTTGACTGACCAGATGGATACCTTCTCTTAGCGGTGCTCGGACTGAGATGCACGTTGTCGCCCCCCTTGCGGTCACGCAAGTCTCCAGTAACGCTGGCCATCCGGCTAATTGATCGAGTCTCCAGTAACGCTGGCCATCCGGCTACCGGTAATTGATCGCTGCAAACAGGTATGGTAATCAACAATTGTGGCTGATCCACGAGCGGTGGCCGCCTACATCAAGTCTCAATAGCCACGGATGGATGTAGCGAAGATGGCGACAGTGTCGACGTCCTTAGTTGCAAGGCCGCCCCAGCGCTTCGAGCTTCTGCCTACAATGTACATGTACGTCCCTACAGGAAAATCCAGGTGACAGCTCCTTTCGGCGATCGAGCATACAGTTTGCCTCCCCGGGCAACGTCTGAAAAATTGTCTTCAACACGCACCGATGCTACGGTGACAGTCGCGCACGACCTACCCAATCTACTGGACAGCAACTCTGTCGAGGTCCTCCCCGCCCGCCTCTGTCTTGCTTCGGGGCAACGCTTCTGACTGCTGTTGACAGAACGTAGCGTCGCGACTCCGCGAGATCGCTCTTACTCTTGCCCGGGGTCACCCATGCATCACTGTAGTGTCCCCAGCATGTAAAAAGACGCCGAGCGCATAAGACCCCGTGTACAGTTCACCAGCCTGTCACCTTTGTCGTCGGCTGTGAAAACTGCGTGGGCTGCAAG